GGCCGCCACGCTCTAAGGCCACGCCTCAAACGGCTCGTCCAGCTCTGCAAATGCCGTCAGAACTTCCGCAACGGAGCCGAAGGCAGAATCCTCAAGAAGCATCCACTTCTCGCAAGACTGGCAGGACATGCCATGAGCAGGCTCTGCGGACTCTCGGTTCTAATGCCTATCCCTCTGCCCAACGTCTGTAGGATCTCATGTGTCCTCTATTCGCTGCAGAAGGACCGAGTTGACTGCTTTGAGCATCTCGGAGTCCTCGCAGCTCCACTACTCACACTGGGACAGAGGCCTTTGCCGGCTCCTTGTAGTGCAAACTCGCGAATGCCTTGCACAGAACGGCTAGGGTTTGAGGGTCTGCAGCTGCAGCTCCGTACCTGCAGGCAGGTTCAGGCTTTTGCCAATTATCCTCGAGGCTGCCCGGCCTCTCAGCATCTTCCACAGTGGTATACGGCTGTTCCAGCAGGAGCCGGGCCACATGCTCGGCGAAGGCTTTGAGCATGAACTCGCTCACACCTCATTGCTGGCTATCAACACTACATCTTGGCATGTCTTTGCTCACTCGGGCGGTGGCAATTAAAATGGGCGTACGCATTCAAGATCACGGCCGTCTCCACCAGGGATAGCTTGTCCACATCATCAATCAATTCCTTTGCAAGCAAGAATAGGCTGCGACGACTGGTACCTGCCTGGATCTAGTCGCATATTTGTGGAATAGAGATTGCCTGTCGCCACTCCTTGTCCTTTCTACTGAGTTTTTCGGCAATTATGATGGGACATGCGATTTCTTCAGGGCGTCGAGCTTAGGATGCCCAATCCTGACCCGCCAAAACCAGCGGCACGGAACCTTGAGCCAGTTCAGCTCGCGGTGATAAACACTGGATGTGAGCAGCATGAGGCTCTCGGCACATCCATTTCAGCGAAACGAAGCTCTGTAGAATCGAGGCTCTCGAGAGATGGTCTTCATGAGGTGGGTGTGGCGGTGGTTCGCTGTCAAGAGCGTGTCCACGATTACAGCCAGGTCACCTGCCCAGAAAAATCAAGAATCCTGCAGGCCTATTCTTTCGGCATATTGTGCCAGTCATGCCTGCCTACGTCCATGATGTCGCGCAGTTGAACTGTCCGCTCGGCAACCTATCATTTTCTCGTGCGAGGCCGGCTTGACTGCAAGGCACGAGCCAGCTCACGCTAAAGCTCCTGGCCTGCTGCCAGAACACTTTGTCCTGGACAAGTCCAGCTGAGCCCTCCGACAGATACGATCATCCCCGCAAGGCCCAGCGAGAGATGTACAGATGTCAGCTCTGTTCGGCTGTCTCCTCCAAGCGCTCAACTTGCGCGCGCTGCGCAGTGTCGACAAGCGCCCGAGGCGAAAGCAGCCTCGACGGTTTCGGTTCGAGACGATCTCTTGAGTCACGACAAAAACCTCCTTTCCTCTTTGCGGGCACGAGACGAAGGCTCGGGCCAGCCTGGTATCTGGACACCGCTCATGGGACCCCCAAGATAGCACCTGCAAGGAAGCGACAAACATTTGCCAGATTCACATTGTCGGTTGGGCGTTGCGGCCAGGGAACCATTTACCACGCTGCCGCTGACGAACCCGATGGTACTTGTGATGCTGCCATTTGTACGGGTTCTTCTCCCAGGCATTGATGTAGTACCGAGGCACAACCTAGTGCAAATGAATATGGGCCGCAAAATATCATGAGAACCCATTAGAACAAATTACCAATAACGGTTCAGCAGTTCTCAAACGTGCGAGAAACTGGCTTGCAATCCAACAACAGCAGCAAGCTGTGCTTCTGCATTTGAGTTTTTTGGAACTTTGCCAGCTCAAGGCTCAAGGGGACACACTGTGAACAAAGAAGCTGTTTGTGACCGAGGGGCGCGAGAAAAGGAGTGCAAAGTAGTGCAAAACTTCAAGGGCGATGCCAAGTACACCTGCGCGATCGCGAAGAACCCCAGCTGCTTACCGCAAACAGCCAATGGATCCGATAACAGGAACTCGAAAGCATGCAGCAGTGGAAGTCTTGCTTTCGGACTCATGCCTCTAGTTGTTGACCTGCTCACCCTGGGATAGAGACTCGCCCACCCTTGAATCCACAAAAAGTCCGACCGCACGGTACGCGTTGCTCAACTCGCGGCTGCGCAGCGCCATGTCTGCCCGGCGATGCCCGGAGCTACCTACATTGTGATCTTCGGGTGGCAGTTCCTGCTGAACCCTAGGTCGTGAACAGAAAGTGATTTGGGCTTCGGTGCTGTGTGCTGTTCGAGAGGGTGTTTACATGTATGGACAAGGTCCAAGGCTGCAGCACACACCGGAGTTCCACTCTGCACCCCCAGAGGCCCACATCCTGTGTAGAATGCCCGTCCTCACCCTCCAGCACGAGGCTTTTCGGACTGCCCTAGGTCCATTCACGAGCTTGCTTCACACGAACTCTGAACTTGACGGAGATTAAGCCTAAGCCAGTGACTGGGGCGGCTGATGGCCGCAACAGAGGGCTGCCTTCAGCTGCGTCGACACTGTCTGAAACCAACCTGTCCTCGTTTCGGTGAGGCCCGCAGCACAGTTCTGACAATAACAAACTTGTTTGCAACATCGCATGTGCGAGATGGCTCAGCCGCTTTGCGGACAAGAGTGAGACATCACATATTCCTGTCGCGATCTCACCAAGACAACAGTAGCAAATATTCGTTCTGAATCTGTGATGACTCTGCCTGCGATCTTGACGACGGACTTTCCAGCTCGACAGTCACACCTCATCGGTCTTCGGAGGTCTGGGAACACGACAGAGAACGACTAAGCTAAAGGGACCTGCTCTCTCATCCACGGGAGCCTGTCCTCAACGACCATCAGAATGCGAAAATCACCAGACGATGCATCACTCATTCCGATGGCGAGCTTAATTGATGTCGGGACATCGCACCTTCGATCATGAGTCATGGTGAGCAGTATAAAACCTTTTTTTTACCTATAGTACCGAAGGAGCCAAGCAAAACGGCAATCCGATTTGCGGAAAAGTTCAGATATCGGAGGTCTTCTCCAGGATTATCGAAGTGCTTTTTCTATGTGCCAGCCATAGCTAAAAAGTTGAGCATTACACGTCCTTCAAGCCGACTAAAGGACAGAAAGACAGGCGCAGACCAGGTGAAGGGGGCCGAAGCCGAAGGAAGACTACAAGACCCGGCGAAGAGACTTGGCCTCCTGCTTCGGGATGTTACGCAACACGGGCTTGCGACAGTCTCTTCAGAAGCCTCAGCCGGCAAGACCTGCAAAGCGGCGGAGTGCGACGTGTTCAGAATTCCAGGGCTTTCGCACCATAGTCACCAATGCTGGCACTCTAGGAATCTGGGCTCTGGTCGACGATGCGGCCTGGTTGGGTCCTCATCCTCCTCGGGCATATCCAGCTCCGCCATGAGCCTCTTCAGGGGTTTGAACCTGAAGCGAGCAAAGGACGAGCACTGGCTGGTTTTGAAGTCTGAGCACGAGTGACGAACTTAACCAGTGAACACATCGCTGGCAAGGTACAGCCGTTTCCTCGTCAAAGGTCTGTCTGGCTCCACCATGCCTGCAGAGTGATCCCTCCCTTGAGTAAGCTAGACGTGTAGAGCATGGATCAGGCATGATCCAGTCGAGGGGCGCTTGACATCGCGAAATTGATCCTCCACGAGAGAGCAGAGCTTCTGAACTTGCAATCCCAGGCGGGTCATGTCGAACATGATGGCCTTACACCGTGGGTCGGCGCAAACACAATGGCTAGTAGCTATCTTTTCAGTTTCAACGCACACGGTGCTAACCAGACCAGTGTCACTGCTACTGAGCTACTGCAGCAGGCACTTCTCGACAGCTGGTGCTTTCTCACCATTCTCCATGACGCCAAATCAACTCTCACTTCATGCAATCCGAGGAGCAAAAATATCTATGCTTTTCGCATGGCCTTTGAGCTTCATGGTGCCTTGAACAAACTCCTCCACGGTAATGTCACCACCTCGGATACTGAGAATGAGAAGCACAAAAATCATTTGGCCGCACTGCCAGATATGCCGAGCGCGCGCGGTCGACATCCTGGACGCTTTTTGCCCGAGGCAGATGCTGCCGTTCGTGTCCATGAGAGTGAAGATTGTACCTCTGCAATGTATTTGCGCACTTTACATGCAACACACCATATTGCGCTGTGCTCAGTCATTCATGGACGTAAACGTCCAGCCTGCGTCATCGGCCCCAATATCCAGGCCGGCAAAATAAGCCGCAACCCAAGCGTTCTGCTTCAAACACCGGGAAAAAGCCTTCCAGTCACACATTCCCATCAACTGCTGGAGCTCTTCCGTCCGGCCTCCAGCGTCAACCGGCCAGAGTCACCAACATCTGCTGAATGAAAGATACCTGCAAACACATCAAAGCGCGATAAACCACCAATTCCTCGTCACTGCATGGCTGTGCACTGCTTTCCATGACTACACACCCGAGAACTCCGAGCTGCGTTGGACTTCGTCCGACGTTCTTTGAAGATCTTCACGGTACGAATCCACAACCTCAGACAAAACAGGCGACACTTTTCGATACTGCAGAAGCCCGCAGCCTGGCCCGGCCTCGTCTTCCGTTCGGGTTGTGACCGCACTGTCCACGAAAATACCCGTGACAACGTTCAGCAATCCCACTAAGCCTCAGCCAAAAGCAAGACTCGCTCTCTCTCTCCGAACCCAGACCCCAGACATGTCCGTTGAGCTCGCCGCAAAACCCGATGTAAAAGAGGAACATGCAAAAGTACCTGAGGTTTCCCACGCAGAAAGAGAGCGGTTCTATCGCATGGGTTTTCAGCCAGGCCGCAGCTCACCGTAACCACCAGATCCCAGTAGGCTCAGCGTGGGTTGAAAAATCATCCAGTCCTGGGCTTAAGCCCCGCACTTTCACGCTCTGCGAAGCCGCATACCCAAGTAATACACAGGCCGAGCCACAGTACCGCCAAAGATCGCCCCGAACAAAGTTACCTCAGGAATAGGATAGGAAGGTAGGAAGGTAGGATGCAACGGACTTCCGACGAAACTTTCGTGAGATACAGAGGAGGGAGTCAAGAATCGTGGGCAGGAGCAAGGACAAAGGAAAGGGAACGCTCGGTAGCGGAACAGTCACGTCCTTTAACAATGCGGGAGACCAAGGAAGGCAACCGTGGAAGAAGATGGTGACGAGTAAAAGGGCTGGGCAGGCGGGGAATGAGAAAGAAGTGGGCCAGAAGAGACCGCACCGAGCCTGGGCAGGCAGTGGCACAAGTCTGGGAAAGATTGGTTTTGTGGGGCCGACAGGCTTGGAGTTGTGCAGAACTGCGAAAGGTTATCGGCATGGGCAGAAAGACTCCGGAGCAGTGCAGAAAACAAGAGGGAACACGCCGAACACAGCCCGAACCCCGGAAGTCCCGGGATGTGACCATATTGGAGGCAGACTGAGAATGAGACCCTGCAGGCCTGGAGAGAGGCTCGGGAAACAAGAGGGCAAGCCTTCCAGAAGCTCAGTGGCTGGCCAAAAGCCCAGAAGACAGGGAAGAATGCAGGCGCAGACTTGCTATGGAGGCATGGAGGATGACCATACATGGCAAGCAGGAAGACACCATAAATAATGCAGCCCAGCTCGCGAAGGATGCGAAAAGGGAGCCGAAGGAATCATATACTGCGTCCGCCTGAGCCACAAGACTTCGCAAGATCGTTGTGGAGCCGCTCGATTGCCATCGGCATTTTCTCACAAGGCCCGTGCATCATCCCTCTCGGTGGTATCGCCAGCATTCACTTGATCAAAATAGGACACAGCAGCATTGCCGAAGATGATGCTAAATACGAACCTCAGCGGTGCAAAGCTGACAGAAGGCAATAGTATTCATGTACATTACTGCCTACTTTAACATTGAGCTGGATGTGCTCGACTAAAAGAATTTCGATGGCCCGAGCAGCATAATGAAGCAGATCATGACGAACGCCTCAAACGAAGTCTTCATGTTTTGGCCACATGCCGGACGGTCACGAATGTCGCAAGACATGAACCTACAAGCTGCGATCCAAGGTACCCAAATCAGGGATCCCATTGAGCTGATCATAGCAAATAGCATGGTCCTCCGACCAGGCTTCGGTAGAGCGAAAATCACGTGCAGTTGTCGGAAGCTGCGAAAATCTACATGAGCGACATATTCACAAAATATTGCCTCAACGATCGGAGCCATTTCACCGTGCGGACGAGTCCTCAGCGGATGGTCGGGCATGGGCTTTCTGAATCCGGCAGGCGCCGTAACGGTGTCTCTTACGGCTCCTGTTTTCTGTGTGGCTTTATGTTTTGAGTGTGTCGTTTCTCTTGTCATCCTTCGCTAAGAGTCCCGGCTTTGGCCGGCAGCTCTGTGTTAACTGTGTCCTCTTTCTCTGGTTGTCGGCTGCTTTGCTCCAAACCCCAACTGTTAAACTTCAAACCCGAAAACCCGAAACCAAAAGACTTTCAAACGCGAAACCTCAAACAAGACCCCCAAACCGCTCTGCGACGTCCTCGGCCATGCACCTAGGCCGAAGCCAGCGCCTGGTAAGATCCATTGACCACAGCAGCTTTCATGCACGGTGGCGCGCGTCAGCGCCAAACCAAGTTTCCATGCACACTATCTCAACATATCTCAACCGAGTCCCAAAGTCGGCGCATATCTCTTCCGTGCGTGGAGCTGGTCGCAACCGCGGCGGGTGGCGTGCGCTCCACACTGCCGATGCGTTCCAACCTCCTGGCACTTGACCGACACTTGGGGGAACGGCATCCTCCACCGACTCCACCTTGCAACTTCAATGTATTGCTGCCTGAAAAATGCCTGGCCCAGGAGCCAGTCTCACAAGCCCTGCGAAGAGCAAAGTCAAGTCACGCAGACTTCCCGGTGCTCAGCCGCCAAACACCCAAAACCCTGAGCCCCAAACCCCGAAGCCTACGCCTTCCCCAAACCCAAACCGAGCCCCAATCCGAAACCTCAACCACTGCGCCCTCAACCTGAGACCCAAAGGAAAGGAGTGATTGGCCGACACCAAGAAAATCTGAACTCTGACACAAGAAGTGATCGAAACAAAAAAAGACATCGAACAGAAGACAGGAGCTTTTGATAGTCTGGTTGTGGCTGTGCTCCTCTTTGAAACAACTCCCCGAGCTTTCGAGCAGACCCTGTCGTGAGCCCTCGCTGAAGAGACCCTGCAGCTCTGGAAGTAACACTTGCTCCTAGTTGCTCATGTTCCACGCTGTTTGTGCACCCAAGGCTCAAAGTTCCAACCCAAAGCTAAGCTCCTGGCGAACGACCCGAACGAGTCGAAACACGCGGCAAATTCTGAGAAAGGACATGTTGGCGAACAAGTCCTTCGCGCGGGGTCAACCGTGGCTAGAACGCAAGCGGAGCAATTATAGGATCAAGCAGGTGCAGCCGAAGAACAGGAATGAGGAGCTCAAGCGCCGCGTTCGCTATTAAGAACAAGTCGAACATGTTCCAGTACCAGTTCTTGCCTGCT